GCCAAGGGGATAGGTAGCCAAGTTAGACGCATACAAATTAAATACGCAATTCATAGTATTTAACGCATCTTTCAAACAGAATCAAAATCAAAAGTGAAATTACAAATTGGCAACCGCGAAGTTTGTGACTCGTTTTGACAACAAAATGTATTAAATGTTTACAGATACATTTTTGGAAAGCATTTGGGCTAACGCAACAATGGTCGAAAAAATATTTAAAAAGAGCATATCTTTAGAATTTCCGACAGACGGTCTTGCGCGCTGGAGATAAAAGTGTTTATCCAATACAATGTTGCCACTGCTCGCTTTGAAACTGTTAAATTTTTAATAAAAAATTGGTTAAAATTTTACAAAATATGAAACAGACAATAAAACAAATTCCAAATTCGGGCTTCCAGGTGCCCATGGTCGAGTGGATGTTTTTTTAAATATAATACAGGGCGATAATATTTGGTGGCAACAATTTAAAAAGTGATACAGAGATTCGACGAAAAATGCAGTTTCAAGACAAATAGCATTTCTGACCTACCGCCTATTTGGGCTAAACATAATTTGGAATATTTATTACTAATTTGTTGAAATAACTCATCCTCTTTATTCCATAGGATAGTTCTAAATCCTGGAAAAAAGTGCCACATACATATGGCACCAACGTATTTCTTAAATTGGCTTTCGTAGGTAAAATGATTTTTCACCTCTCTCCTAAAAAATTATGGCGATACATAATCAACTAATACTGGCCCATCTACGTTTTCATCAAAAAACAATCAGCTTAGGGGGGAAATATTTCCATTAACATATTTTACATACACGTGGTCTATATCAACACATCTTGTAAAGCCAATTATGTTTGCTCACAAAAAAGTGAAGGCTAGAAAAAGAAAAAAAAAAAAATACAAATTTAGGAAAAAGATCGGAAATAAACACAAGGAATATAAGAGTAGATTCCGGTGAAAATATAACCCGGAATAAAACACTTTTATGTCACTTTATACTTTTATTAATTGGATTAAATGAATAAGACCGATCACATACAATTTTTCGAATGAAATGATTTGATTGATTATTTATTCAACTGATTAACACATAATAAGATTACGAGTAAAACCAGAACTAGTTTTACAAACAAGAAATCTGAAACTATTCTTCTTCAATCTTGCGTTATTGAATTTCATTGTTTGTTTTGCATACAGAAGGTAATGAATCGATTGACAAAAATGATTAATTTCCTGCTTAACTGCGCATAAGACCTCTGAGTATACCGCAAAAACACATATTTGAAGTGGATGAGAACTCGAGTTTTTCATATGTAAAAAAAAATAGAAGCAGCTTGATAAATGAAAATTTTTAGCTTGAAGAATAACAAAGAATATCTAATGAAATGTTATCTTCATAATGAAATAAATATTCTCATATGAATTCATCGAATAATTTTTTTTAATTAGAACTCTTTTATTAGAAGAGAGAAGCCCATTCGCCTGCAAAGTGTAGCATCTTTGCTTGCAAAGTGGCAAATAATCTACCAAATTTCGGCCGTGTACAAAAAATTTATAAATAGTTTTGATACAATAAATAAATATAGACTAGCGAGCTGCAGAAAAGCAAAATTTATAAGTTGTATGTACCCATGAAAAGCAAAGGTATAAAAACATTTGAATATGAAAGAAGTCTGTTCATGCTTTCCAAGCAACAATCAATTCGTAAATAGTTTTTTTGTTGCCAAACCAGGAAACAAAAACTTTTTACATTTCAGGTTAATAATACGTATGAAGTCATTATTTAAATTTAATGCAATATAACAACTTTTTCTGAACATCAATAAAAGAATTAACGTGACAATAATTTATCCTATCAATTATACTAAATTGAAACAAAAACGTTGCCAACAGCGGCTATTTATTTAAAATGCTGACATTTATGAAAGATTTTCGTCATACTATGACGTCACGTGCAATCGCGTACTTCCTTCAACGTTACAATATTTATTACCTTGTATAATACTAATACGTTTAATGCTTGGCAATGCTACTTTTTTCCATATTTTGAAAAACTCACAATTTTTTTATTAACAAACGATTTGAAAGCAAGCAGTAGCGACATTTTTCGAAATAAAGCATTTTTATCTCCAACGCGCGAGACTGTTGCCACTTGGGAAAATGAGCGTGAAAATTAGCGTTTTCAGAGTTTTTAATTAATATCTCGGCTGATTAAAGTCGTACGAAGATGAAAATAGACGAATGGCTTTCCACAATTTTTTTAAATCCGAAGAAATATATTAAATATTTGGCAATGCTGTTTGTATTTCATATTTTGTAAAACTTACAAACTTTTTATTAAAAAAATTTTCCAGCGGAGTGGCTTCCGACGTAGGCCAAAATATATTTGGCAAATGGAAATAAACAAATTCTACGATTTGAAAGCGAGCAGTGGCAACACTTCACGAAATAAAAGCAGATTTTTCTCTCCAGCAAGACAACAGTTGAAAGACTGTTGCCACTCGGTAAAATGAGGGTGAAAATTGGCGTTTTCGGAGTTTTTAATTAACATCTCGGTTGATTAATGTCGTACGAAGATGAGATTAGTCGAAATGGCTTGCAACGAATTTTTGGAATACGGTTGTACTTCTCTCGAAACTCACCCGCCGTTCCGGAAGAGATGATGAATGTCACAAGCAAACAGACAAAAGCGTATATATTAAATAGTTATAAGATACACATATAAAAATATGGTCAGACCAATAAAACTAACGCATTTACTTAAGATTGCGATCCCAAAAGTCATATTCTTGACATTAGATATTCAGTCAAGCTTATAATATATTGAACATTGAAACGGTAGATTAAAATTTTAAATTCTAAAAAATTACTAGCTATTTAGCATTCATTTACATCTACATACAGTTAAGGTATTCTTATTCATGTATCACACAAAATATTATTTTATTCGATAGTTCTTAATCAAAGTAAAATTACGAGTAACATAAGATGTATTTTTTTTTTCAATATTTAAAACTCTTACAGATTTGTACAATAATGAATCACGTATTAACTTAAACAATCGCTCTATGTTTTCCAGAAAAACTATACTAATATATTAAATAACATCTCATATGTTTTGTATTACTTTCAGTGAAGGCACTGAGCGAAATTTCACGATTTTAATATAGATGTTCCAGCAGTTGACGGTTTCCTGTCTTGCTACAAATTTCACAGTCAATAACTGCAATTTAAAAATATGATTCGGTATCACGATGACGCTTTTTAAATTACATCGTTTTTCTAAACGCAGGAATACTTTTAAATACTGCGTGTTAAATAAACAGTTCTCTAATAAATTACAGTAACAATGCCCAGAAAATTTAAGTGGAATAAATATTAATATAAACTACGACTTAGTAAGACCGTTTGTAAGATTTCACCTAAATCGAATAAATGGAGTGGGAGAAACTCCTGATTGATTATTTTCTTTGTTGAATGTTTTCACCATTTAAACTACAGTGAAGTCTATTGTCTATAGAAAGAAATGCTTTGTTCTCACCATTCCCCGCCCCCCCCACACACACATACACCGATTTGTCAGCTTGTTCGATTTTGACTTTTTGACTCACAGTTCCAAAATAAAGTTTAAAAAATTAAACAGCGTCAGTAATGTCAGAGCAGACTTTTCATTCTAACTTTAAGAAATTCTCGTTTCGTAATCTGCATAACGATAGCATAGTTAATTTCTTCAATGCAGTATATGAATCAAAACAATAAATTTTAGTACTGAATGAAGTACTTAGAAGCAAAGTTTAAGCATCGGATAGCCAAATTTTAAGATGTTTTATGAGGATAAAAGTTTGAATAGTAAAATAGCCTCACATAAATGAGCTTGATATATGGAAAATATTCTACAAACGCATTATTAAAGGATTTAAGTAACTAAAAGTACATAAATACATTTTTCTAAGCAATGATTGAAAATTTTATTTTAACATGCTTTTCATTTTTAGGCATGCAAAACACATTTTAAAAGGGGAAAAAACACGTCTCTGATATGAACCAGTATGATAATTCTGGATTTGGGAAAAACAATAACAATGTATAACAATAATATATAAATAATATATGAATATGCCTTCTAATGATCTAACACAATTTCATTCAAACCTGTTACTGTATCTAATACGTGTGGTGTCATCTTTAATTAATTTATTTCTTTTATTGAAAAATAGGATTTATAAAACATATTAGAAATTTGGAACTTCAGTATTGACAGCAGTTCTTCCACTACAAGTTATATTAAATAACGCACCGGCACCCCCCCCCCGCCCCTCATCAGCCAAAAAAAAAAAAAAAATAACTTCACGACATTCACCTAGTTATATCTTATCTGGGATTCATCTCAGAAGCTTCCCCGTTTTACGAACGTGCTAAAACGATAATAAATAAAACACGCTTTTTGAAGAACTTCCGATCAACAGTCTCTGCCATTAATTCTCCATAAATACTAGGATAAACAGAATTTCTCCAAGACGATAATCGGTGTTCGCATCGATTGTCACCAAATCTGTTTCTATAGCAAGATAGAAAGTGATGATAAAAATTTCATATGACGATCACGTGCGCCCCGTAACATTACGCGCGGTAATCCTGCTACGAGCTCTGCGACGAATGCTAAGTATGACAATGTGGCAGATTTTTTTTGTCTTTCTTCTAAAATACAGACAAACAATATTAGAAGAAGTAAATAAACAAACAGAAATAATATAACAGCTGACGTCATGCCGTCACTCAATGCTAGCCACACCTCAAAGAGCACTAAAAAATTACGATTACAGAAAAAAAAAAACGTATACGAAACGGCTGGAGAGTCATCATTTATTATAACACACTTCTTCCTCTCTCGCTCTATCATTGGTCAGTGTCACGCAGAAAAAACATATGACGCCAAGCGACGACTAATAAGCCAGTGATGTTAGGTGACCCACTTGAAAACTTAAAAAGCAAGACTCAACTTACCGTTGGGTATCTTTGTCATGGCAGCAACGGCTCCAACTAAATTCGAGATATAAAAAAACCGAATCCTAAAAAATACCCCGGGACTAAACCTTACGTCGAGCAACTGCGAATAGTGGAGTTTTTTGGCGAGTAGCCATTTCGCGCCAAAGGAAAAGCCTTAACCCTATCCTGCCAGACTGGTCACGTGATGTGTATAGAGTAGAAAGCAGTAGGAAGGGAGGGTAGGCAACAGCCGCCTCTCCCCGTCTGAGCATCCGTAGTAGTCCTATTGCATGCCAAGGATATTACATCAACAACCGTTGGTTGGTTACGCTGTGGATGGACAATTTTCTTTTTTTACTTTTTTTAACACAAGCTCTCGTCAAAACAGACGAAACAACTCGTTTTTTCTCCACCTCATCCCAAAAAATACCAAATCAACTAGCTATTCTTTGCACAATCAGTCCATGCAGAACGTTAGAACTAGATAAAAAGAGAATAACGACAATTTTGCAGTGTCTTGAATTGGTAAAATTTTGCAAGGTGTAAATGAAAATTCAAATGTCTGCATGGAGACAAGCCTTCTCAAGTAATTTTTTAAGAAGTAGTTTTTGATATTTAACAGCCGTTTTGCATACGTAATTCTTGCGTTTTTTACATTGATATATATTTACTACTTTCCATCTCTTTTCCATTGTAATAAGATGAATGAAAGTTGCCATTCGTTTACTCCATACGCATATTAAAACGCATGTTAAATGAAATTTAATATACGTATTTAATCCAGAATCTGTACGCTACTGCTAAAATATTACTCATTCGCTATGGGCAGTATTTGATGTTAGACGTTTTCTTTTATTTTAGCAACTTTTCCGCCTCCCAGTATCCCAAGTATTCTGGGTCGCGGATTTTTAATTTTGAGAAAAGAATTTTAAGCACAAAGGGACGTTAACACAGAAGGACTGTTAGTCTTGAAACGGCATTTTGCATAGAATCACTTTTCAAATTGTTGCCACCAAATATTGTCGCCCGTATTATACTTAAAGGAATTAAATAATGAAGAATCTGCATGAATGTATGTGTTTCTCTCATTCTGAAAAAACAACGGTACCTTCAGCCATCAAATTTTGAAGAACGTAGTCCTCCACCCGAATATGGGCACCTGGAAGCCCGTATTCGGAATTTGTTTTATTGTATATTTTACATTTTGTAAAACTTTAACGAATTTTTGATTAACAAACTCAGATTTCAGAGCGAGCAATGGCTACACTGTACGGGAAAAAAACTGTCTCTAGCGCACGAGACTGTTTATCGAAAATTCTAAAGATATGCTGTTTTTAAATATTTTTAGCCCAAATGGACATTAGCGCAAATGCTCTCGAAGCATGTATGTATGTGTAAATGAAAAAAAAAAAAAACGCCCCTTTGTTTTAAAGTAAATACGTCTGTAATTTCCAAACATGTTAAAATTTCTTTAACATAGGCTTTAGCCCTGTAGCTTTCAATATAAAAAATAATTATTAAATTTTTAATTTGATAAAATTACGTACAGTTTTTGCAAAGAACAGAAGAAAGTTATTACTTTAAAATTGTAACTACCACAATTTTCCATATTTAACCCATTTATACATTATTATCGTGCTATTCGTGGGTTACTTACGTATTATCCCAATCATCTTAGTAGAAACTGTCAAGTTTCAAAAAGTCAAATTCTAGAAAACTCAACAATTTTTTCGTAAACAATGCGAATGACAGTTCTTCAAAGTTTTAACAAACAGCTTCGCAATCTTCCATATGCATTCTTTTTGTTGTAATCGAAAACGTTCGACTAGAGAAAAAGTGATATTTTTTGTCTTGAATTCTCTTTTTAAACATGCTCTTGTGGGATTTGCCTGCATCAGAAGGATGCAGTAAAATTTCTGTAGAATTATAGCATTTTGCTGAAAAATAGTTAAACAGAACAAGTACTTTGAATCTGTTCTTAAAGTGACTGCTACAAAATTTTCTATTTGCAAGCTTCCATCTGTTTGTTTCTTTTGTGAAAAAAAAAAAAAAAAAAGAAAAAAAAAAAAAAAAACAATGTCAGCTTGTAAATAGGTTTATTTTTCGGATAGAATAGATTAACCTACTTAAAATACGTCTGTAATGGTATGTTTGTATGTAATACATAAATTTTAAAATTATAAGTCATTATTCTTTTCTTCTGTAAGATTTGTCAAACTGCATTAAGGAGGTTGCGCTAATGCATAAAATACCCCTTTGGGATCCACCGGATATTTAGCTTCACGTCTTAAACTGTGTAAAATATATATACTCTTGCCACTCTAATTATTCTACAATTCTAATTATTCCAATTATTCTATTCCACAAGAAATCAAATTTTTACCCTTCAATAAAACTAAAATTCAACTAAAAATATATTTCACTTTCTAATCTCGGGCTCTGACCTCCTTTTCAGGTGTGAAAAAAACGTGTAAACAGAACAGACTATTAAAATTACATATATATTTAAATAAAATAAGAAAATATTCTACGCAGACGAATGTAATCTTCAGGCAATTATAGAACGTCGCCGTTAACATTAGATTTTATTTAGAGCTACTAAATAGGTACATAAAACAATATTAAAAATTTTGATCGAGATACTTATCGTATGGCATAAAAAACGTCTTTTACTAACTACACTAACGGTCAAACTTAATAAAATTTGAGAAACTGTTATTAAAAAGCACATATTTGTATCAGAGAATTGATTTTATTACACTAGTGAACTAGCTCCACAGTTTTACAATGAGGTTTCCTTTCCTGCGTCTGTACACTCACGGTAACAGAGCCATTTTTTTTCTCATAGCGAAAACAATAACAAGTGATTTCACAAACAATCCCCCACCCGACAAGTAAAGAAAGTAGTCACTGAAGTCAAGAATGATAAGCGTATTAAATCTGATGAGGCTATGTATAATATTTTGGGAAGAAAAATGCACAGCCTATGCACCACCTGAAGTGGCGTAAATAGGGTAGGGCAAATGGGGGGACACCTGTCCCTGGGCGCAGCATCCAGGGGGCGCTGAGCAGATGTTATGAAATTTTAATTTGAAATGCTTCCCATTCTTGGAAAACAGGAGGAGCATGAAATATTCAGCTGTGTCCGGGCATTGAAAAACCCTAGCTACGGCCCTGCACCTGAAAGGAATTCTTTTATTAAAAAAAGGCGGGAAAATAACATAAAAGATAATTATTTCAATAGCGGGGTTTCTCACACAGCCTAGATTCAAAACATTGTAACAGACAGATTATCAGTATACACTGAAACTAGATCAGCATGTCTTCGGAAATGAAATCCAGGGCGATGTGAAATACTAACCTCTGAATAGCCTAACCTTTACTATCATTCAAATATTCTAAAAATATATCACTGATATATGCACTTCGTCTCACATTCAGATCAGTCAGACAAGCAAGTCAAACCATTTAAATTTCGTCGTTAAATAAACATTATCAGGAAACAGCTGCTGGTCAGCTATGATACATCTGCAAGGGAGCAAACATGTACATAGATTCAAATTACTAGAAGATCCTGGATATTACCCAGTCATTTCAGAACTCATAACATATTGATAACGAAAAAACGTCATAAATTGATCAGAAATTTGAATTTTTTAAACAATTTCAGGTAAATAAATTCCTCTACATTCTTTTTCTTCTGTAATTTACTCAAACTTCGGAACAATTATCAGCTGATGTAGTTTCGCTTTCAATACGCCTTTTCTTCCATTAAGTTCAGATTCTACACAATAATGATCAAGTAAAGAAACAGATTTGAAGTAAAATCAACGAAATACGAATTATAAGCATTGTTACGAATCTTGTTTGTATGTAAAATTATTTTAGTGAAATTATATGTGAGATTACAGTACCTTTTCCATAATGCAACATGAAAAGTCTGAAGAGAGCGCAGCGCTGGCGGAAATATAAGATTACAGGGGTAAGTGTATTTAACATTGAGATAAATGGTTGTCTCGCTAAATTGGCGAGATATCGCCAAGTTGGCCCAGATCGCCAACTTTTGCGAAATTTTGTCTGGTTCTTTGTATAACTCTGCTCATATTGCAACTGAATAAGTGTAACCGATCTCTACATGTAACTATAACCGTACCCGACCCTTATATATAACTTTAACCTTATGTGCATTTTAGCAATTCTAGAAATGGAAGGTACTAGAGATTTCTCGGCGGCCGGGGAAGAACTACATAAGACAGGAGAGACCATGCGTTTATGTATACACACAGCCAAGGCCTAGAGTTCTCCCAGATTCAGGTAAAATCCTGCATGCTTGTTTCAAAGCCACAGTCAACAGTTAGTTTCTTAGTTGTTAATTAGTTTTAGAAAAATCTAATATTTTTCACTAGACTAATAATAAAACTTTAAAGAATAGCGCCGATGCATAGTCCTTAATGATTCGAGTCGGAGTGTGTTAAAGTTATTTTTGCAGATCAGTTACTGTCATAGTTCGCTATGGTACTACCATATGATACTGACTGCAGAGCAATATTTTAATGAAATTATGTTTATTAGTCTAGAGTTTTATGTTAAGCATATACAATATAACCTATACAATAATATATTATATAACTTTGCTCATCCGATCTGTGCGGAATCGATTCTGCATGCATTCAGTCCATTACGCATCTGTTCGCCCGCAACAATATTTTGATCTCAAAGCAATAAATAATTATGGCATATGCCGTTGCAGGCACGAAAAAGTTCACATATTAATTTTCACAGAAAACTGAACAAAACTAAATTCTCTACAAGAATTTATATCAATTACTTTGCAACAAATAATGCTTACTTTTTCAAGACAACAGGAAAGCCATTCTAGTTTCCGACACATAAAGGTTATTTAATTCAGAAAAAAAAGAAAGCTATCAAATTTTATATTACGCCCAAAGCGGCTTTTTTTAATGTTTTGTGTGTTACCTTAATTTATTAAATATCATGTTCTTTGCACTTAAACCATAAAATTCAGTTCAGTAGCAATGTCGCAAATAATCTTAAAATGAGCATATCTTTAGAATTTCCGATACACAGTTCCGCGCCCGCTGCAGATAAAAAGGTTTTTTCCCCTGCTGTAGAGTGTTGCCATTG